GTGGAGTCCATTCCAGGTATGGAAAATGTTACAATCAAAAGCACAGAGACCAGGACGAGAACGGATTGTTCAATTTGATTACAATGTGAAGTCCATGAAAAGGACTAGAATGAGATAATGAGCAATGATCATCGAATGGCATTAACAGAAATAGATAAATGATGGGGTACTGGGATGGTTTAAGGGGGAAGGTGAAGAGTTTAGTTTTAGAGGTGTTAAGTTTGAGAAACTATTGGGATGTCCTGGTGGAGATGTAGGCAGTAAGGCCGTGAGAAATCTGGACTCTAGGGAGAGGTCAAAGTGGAAGTCATTCTGGATGGAGTGGAGTCATCTGCATGTACATGGTAATTAAAGCTATTTGAGTAGGTAAAATTACCAAAGGAGAGATTGTGGAGAAAAAACAGAAGAAGACCTAGTATAGTGCCTCAGCTAGTTACTAAATATGTCAGGCTGGTTGGCTAGGTGGGGCATGACTGCCTCAAGCTTAGAAGGGGAACAGATCCCATCATTTAGTGAATGACCTAGATATGTGAAAATATAGTAGAATTGTTCTTTTCCAGATGAGTGGCAAACCATCCAACATATATTGGGATCAATTATCTCTCCAGACATTACTATAGCTCATAAACTTCTAGAGGGCAATTTTTCATACATTACATAGCACATAATTATAGTAGCTACAGCATAGAAATAAACTCAATGCCTGTTGAAAAATCGAATGTCCTAAATGTTCCCAAGGAAATCTTCAGCCTCTTTTGTTTGAATTTCAGGGGACAGTTGTCAAGTCATTCCATATTTTCAAACTAGATGATAAACTTGTTCTCACAATGCTTCCCTTGGAAGCTCCAGCTCAAATGACGCCATCACGGCTCCCCCACCCCCACCCCTGTGGAAATCACAACAGAAGCAAACTGGCAGGCCTCCAAAGCCTGAGCGCTCAGGTAGAGGATGCTTGGAGACTTGCTGAGCTCTTAGGCAATGACCCTGGATTATTCTTTGGTTGTGAGTGGGGGTGGGGGAGAAAGAAGCAGAAGAGGGAAGGGGATCCTTAGCTGCTGGCTGGCTGCCAAATTTAAAATCAAACACCTGGGCGCCAGATGTGCCTTCTTGTATGAGTGCCACCATTGATCCATTTGCAGAACATTCCACATGTTAATTGCTTTACTTGCCTTGGGAGGGGATTTGGGACACCCACTTTAGTAAAAGAAGGCAATCCATAGCCAAATATCCAAATATTAAGGAGTTGCACGTCTCCTCTTTGTTGTTTTTATTTTTCCATCTTAATTCCTCCAAGACCAATTGGTATGCATTCTACCAGGGACGAAGAATACTAGTTACATTGTGCTTGGTTGATACCCAACTGGTCCATTTGTGATACTACACAATATCCTGAGAGGATGTTTGAGTCATTAGTGCCTTGGTATCTTTTCTTAGATTCTATCTTTTACAGTTCCAATCAAATTCTATAACACGTACAGAGTTTGGTTTTGTGCCCAAATGGGTTTGTTTTAGCATGTGCATTATACAGTGAAAATAGAAATAGGTTAAGTGACTTTGCCTAGTTCTGACAAGTTTATGGACTTACTTGGCACCACCTCACACCCTCTAGGCTTCAGTGCCACAGCCTGAGATACATGTAGATGACAAAATTAGATAGTTAACTTCATCTACATAAAATACAGTAGAACCCCATTATAGCATGATATTATCACATAAATGAAGGTAGCTAATGAGCCCTAAAACATAATTAGTCTATACTGAAAAGTTTTTTATAGTCCGGAGGCAGAATAGTGCAGTGAATGGTGACCTGGCCTTGGAAGCAGGAACACCTGGGTTCAAGTCCTATGCCTGACAAATACTGGCTTTATGACCTTGGGCAAGTCATTTAACTTCTCAATGACCTAAGACAACTCTCTAAGACTATACATTGCAAAGAAAGTGCTGACTCTGCATTGGTAAAGTGAGTGTTTTCATCTGGGAGTTCCTTAAGCACATGAAATCACAGATGCAGTATCTATCCCTATAATATAGTCATGTCCTATAAAGAACTCTAGGACCATAAAGGAAGTTAAAATAGCCCCCAAATTACTTATTTAATTATTTTGCAATGCTTTCGTTTATCCAATGAATTAATAAAGTCTCTTTCCTCAGCAATTTTCCAAATTACTTTTTCTTTTGCATCTTCCTTTCCTCGACTATCAGAGTGTCAAGATATTGCCTTTCTTAGCATTAACTTGCCATTCTTGCAATATAGAGCCTTTTGTTTGGCCACAGACTTTGTCCTGAACATCAGCAAATCTTCACATGTAAGATAATTTAGAAGAAATTGTTTGGAGCAAGCTACAGGTTTCCATAAGAAGCAGCTATATAGCTCAGTGGATAGACACTGGGCCTGGAATCAGGAAGAGCTAAGTTAAAATCTGGTCTCAGACACTTACTAGCTGTGTGACCCTGGGCAAGTCAATTAACTTCTGTTTTCCTTAATCCACTCGAGAAAGAAATGGCAAACCACTCCAGTATTCATGTCCATGGAGACATGCCTCAACAACAACAATAGGTGCCACCTATGAAGACAGCCATGTTGGGGAAAGGCATAATATTTGAAATGTTCATATTCAACAAGAAACTGCTAGAGTTAGGACCTACTCCTGAGACTGACATTCAGATGACCTTAGCTCAAAGAATCCTAGAGCAGCCTCCAAGAGTCATCAAGTCCAACCTTATAAATAACCACCTATCCATTTGTCCAACACAAATAATAATTTTTTACCAGGTGAAAAGAAAAATATAATAATTTATATGGCACTTTAAGGTTTATAAAGTATTTTACACATATTACTTTATTTGATCCTCACAGCAAACCTTAGATGTGGCAAATATCATTACCCCCATTTAAAAAAAAATAGATGACATAACTGAGCACTTACTGTGTGCCAAATATTGTACAAAGGTCTAGGGATACAAAGAATGGCAAAAACAATCCTTGCCCCCCAAAAGCTCACATTCTAATGGGGGAGACAACATGCAAACAACTGTGTATATAAAAGATGTAGAGAATAAATTGGAGATAATGTCAGAAGGAAGGCACTGGCATTAAAGGAACTCAGAAATGGTGTCTAGCAGAAGGTGGAATTTTAGCTGAGACTTGAAGGAGGCTGGGGGGAGAAAATGGGAAAGCGAGAGACACAGAAAGGATAAAATACCAGGCATGTTGGACAGCCAGTGAGAATGCATAGTCAGAAGATGAAATGTCTTGTTTGAGGATCAACAAAGAGGCCACCATCACTGGATTTCAGAGGATATGAAGAAGAGTAATTTTTTTAATTTAAATTTTATTGATTTTGGTTTATCAACAATCACTTCCATATGCTTTTGAGTTGAAAATTTTTCTCCCCCTTCCTCCCCCCCGCCTTCCCCAAGACAGCGCACAATCTGATATAGGCTTTACATTTACATTCCTATTGAACATATTTTCACATTAGTGAAGTTGTAAGCAAAAATTAAAACCAATAGGAGGAACCATCAGAAAGATGAAACAAAACTCAACAGAAGGTAAAAATAAGTGGTAGCGATTTGACTTCCATGGTTCTTTTTTTGGATGTGGACAGCATTTTCCATCCCGAGGCCTCTGGAGGTGTCTTAGATCCTTGTAATGCTGAGAAGGGTTCAGTTTAACAATATTAGTCACCGCATAACGTGGTTGTTATTGTGTACAAAGTTCTCTTGGTTCTGCTCACTTCACTCAGCATCAGTCCATACAAGTCTTTCCAGGTTTTCCTGAAGTCAGCCTGTTCATCATTTCTTATAGCACAATAGTATTCCATTACATTCCTATACCACAACTTGCTCAGCCATTCCCCAATTGATGGGCATCAAGAGGAGTAAATTTTAAGAAGATTGGAAAAGTAAGAAGGAGAATGACAAATTCTAGAGGAGCTGTGGGAAAACAGGTGCATTAATGCGCTCTTGGTGGAGCTGTAAACTGGTCTGGCCATTCTGGAAAGCAACTTGGAAATATTTCCAAGAAGCTATTAAACTGTTAATGATTTGATCCATCAGTTCCACTACTAGGTTGATCCCCAAAGAGATCAAAGGAGGCAAAAAGGAGCACATACATACAAAAATATTTATAGCAGCTCTGTTTGTGGTGGCAAAAAATTGGAAACTGAGGGAGTTCCCATCAGTTGGGGAGTGGCTAAACAAGTTATTGCATATAGATGTGATAGAATACTACTGAATTATAAAAAATGATGAAAGGGATATTGAGAATCCTGAGAAGACTTATGTGGACTGATGCAGAATGAAGTGAGTAGAACCAAGAGAATGATTTACAATAACAACAATACTGTAAAGATAATCAACTATGAAAGACTTAGAAACTCAAATCAACACAATGGCCAACCAAGATTCTGGAGAACTCATGATAAAACATGCTACACACCTCTTGACAGAGTGGTGATGGACTCAGAGTGCAGATTGAGACAGATTTTTTTTTTTAGGTGATGGGGAGGGCATAGCTAGTGTGGAAATTTTTTTGCTTGTAATGCTCGTAACTATACATGCTTGTCATGGTTTTTATTTCTATTCCTTTTTCAATGGGAGTGGTGGTAGAGAGGTGGAGGGAAGATCTTCATTTAAGAAAAATAATTAAAGGAAAAGGAAAAGTAGGAAGGACTTGGTTATGAAAGGCTTTAAAAGCCAAACAGAAGATTATTTTTATTTGATCATGGAGGTGATAGGGAGCCACTGGAGTTTCTTGACTGGGTCAAGGGCTTGGGGTGACATGGTCAGACCTGTACTTCAGGAAAATCACTTTGATAGCTGGGTGGAGGAATGGGGAAAGACTTCAAGTAGAAAGACCAACCAAAAGGCTATGGCAATAGTCCAAGTGTGAGATGATTGAACCTGTATTAAAGAAGGAAGAAAAGGAAATAAGCATTTATTAAATGCCTACTATATGCCAGGCATGGTCCATATTATCTCGTTTTATTATTTACCAGCAGGGTGGTAGTAAGAATGTCAAAAGAGAGAAGAAAAGGTACACGTCGGAGAAGAGGTGACCGTAGAAATGACTTGGCAAAAATTTGCTATGGAGGTGAAAATAAGTGAGTATTGAGGGTGACACAAAAATTTTGAGCCTCAGTGACTGGGAGGGTAGTGATGTACTCAGCAGTAATAGAGACATTAGGAAGAGGGGAAGGTTTGGCGGAGAAGAATCAGTTCACTTTTGAATATGTTGAATTCAAGATGTCTACCGTTCATCCAGTTATTCATAGGCAGTTGGAGATGTGAGTTAGAAGGTTGGGAGAGAGGTTAGGGCTGAGAATTTAAATAACCTGTCATCAATCATATAGTAAGTGTCAGAATTGAGATTTGAACCCAGGTCTCTCCAACCCCAAATACAGCACACACCTCCACCCCCCTATCCCCGCTTTTCTTAAATGTAACATGTTGCATTATATTTTGCTATTTCCTGTTGGGACAGTGCTAGGTTCAGATATATTTTTTAAGTGCACTTGTAAAGGGTACAAGAACTTTTACTATAATAGCAAGAATTCAGGGCAAAGGTCAACAACTCTGTCCCTCTGCGTCCAGTAACAGAAACCTCAGGTAATGAATTTGTATGGTACGGTTAATTGTGGGTAATTGTGGAAATTGAAAGGAATTCAGCCATTCCAAGAAAGCAGTTCTTAAACTTTTTCGTCTCAGGACTCCTTTATATTTTTGAAAGTTATTGAGAACCTCAAGAGCTATTGTTCATGTGTGTTATGTCTATCACTATTTACTGAATTAGAAATGAAATCTGATATAATTTAAAAATATTTATTTAATATACTTATATAACAATAATATGTTCATTAGATGTTAACATAAATAACATATTTTATGAAATAACTGTATTTTCTAAAACAAAAAAATAGTGAGAAGGGTGGCATTGCTTTACATATTTTTGCAAATCTCTTTCATGTTTGGCTTAGTAAAAGAGCTATATTCTTATATCTACTTCTGCTTTCAGTCTGTTGCAGTATGTTTCTTTTTGGCTCTTGTCTGTCCCCCCTGCCAGGAATGCTCTCCCTCCTCTGCTCTGACTGCTGACCTCTGTGGCTTCCTTTAAGCTCCAGCTAAAATCCCAACGTCTACAGGAAGCCTTCCCCAATACCTCTTAATTCTGGTGCATTATCTCTTTTAATTATTTCCTATTTATCCTATGTATAGCTTGCTTTGTATATATTTATTTGCAAGTTGTCTTCCTCATTAGACTATTAGCCCCTTGAGGGCAAGGACTGTCTTTTGCCTCTTTTTGTATCTCCAGTGCTTAGCACAGTGCCTGGCACGTAGTAATCACTCAACAAATATTTATTTATTGATTAGTTGGTTGAAATATATGAAGACAATCCAATCTTACATGGGTATGTAGTTGGAAAAGGGAGGTACATTTTGATGAATAAATAATGAAGGCAGCTGAAGCAGGAGCTGTGGAGCACTTAGAATTTGGTTAGACATTGAAGACACCAATGTCACTACTGCATCTTGAGCCATCACTAGTCATCTTAACTCTGTCCCGCCACTTGGATTGTGATGACTCGGGAAGAGAGAATGAAGCCAATGTGCAACTCTGCCTCACTTAAATCCAATTTATGTACAAATTAAAAGTCATCATCCATACTATTTTACTATTTTTACCTTTTTCAAAGTCCTGTGGTGACAGGCAAGTGACAAAGCAGCAGGTGCAGATACACTGGGAGCTGTAGTCACAACCTCGCACACAGGTGGCCCAGGCTATAGGGTTGTCTTCTCACTGGAAGCAGCAGTGGGATTCGGCAGCCTCCTGGGTGTCTGAGCAGCCTTTTAAGGATCACACTGCTCACCTCCTGCTGTGAGGAAGGGGCTAGAAAAGGTGCCCTAAAAATTGTCTGCCTACCCAACCCTGGCCTGTTTACAACAGCAGGTGGGTATCCCACCTTGCAGTCAAAACACAAAAAATGTGCAAAAACTTCTGCAAAGATTATTCCATTCACAATCAGTGCATGGAATGTATGCACATGTATAGACAACACAAAATCCAATAGACCTGAAAGACAAACTCAGCAGGTATCACATCCAAATAGCAGCCTTGAAATAAGGCTGGCAAAGGAAGGCCAGCTTACTGAAGTCTGAGCTGGAGTGGCTGCAGTGAAGGGTGCTTAGTGAAGGTGGTGTAGGTTTTGCAATCAAAACTAATCTTGTCAACAAACTTGTATGCCTCCCAAAAGGAGTGGACAATAGGCTCATGACAATATGATTGCCACTTTCAAGAAAGTCCCACACCACCATCATCAGTGCCCATGCTTCCACCATGACCAACCTTGATGAGGTTGAAGAAAAATTTTATGAAGACCTGGAGACTCTCATCATCAATGTGCCCAAGGAGGACAAGCTTATAATTCCGGATGAGTTTAATGCTAAGAGTAGGCACAGATTACCAGACATGGCAGGGAGTCCTTGGGAGGAATGGAGTTGGAAACAGCAGCAGTAATGGTCACTTACTACTAAAGACTTGTGCATCTCATGACCTTCTATCACCAACACTGTCTTCTGTTTACCTAAGTGCAATAAAACTTCATGGATGCACCCTCACAGCAAACGTTGGCATTTAATAGACTATGTGATCGTAAGGAGAAGAGACAGACAGGATGTAAGAGTGACAAAAGCAACGTGAGGCTCAGAGTGCTGAACTGATTATAGACGTATCCTCTCCAAGCTAAGTGTTCATGTTCAACAAAAATGGTGGCCCCAAGGCAAGATGGCTACTGGAAGACTTAATGTCAATGGAGTAGAGAGCTTCTCTGAGCAGGAACAGTTCGTTGCTAACTTGGAGGGTAGGTTGAGTCAATACACGGTTAGCAACAGTGGAGCAGAAATGGAGTGGGCAGCTTTCAGAGATTTGGTGTACAGCACTACATTTGCTCTTCTGGGTCAGAACACTCATAAACATCAAGACTGGTTTGATGAAAATAATGGGGAAATTTAGAAGATGCTGAATGAAAAATGAGAACTCCACAGGGTTTACCAGCAGGATAATTGATCCATCTCTAAGAAGGCAGCATTTAACTCCAACAAAAGTAAAGTGCAAGTGAAGCTTAGAAAGATGCAGCATTCTTGACTCAGTGAGAAGGCAGGTGAAATTCAGTTTTTTGCTGGTAGTAACAATCCAAAGTCTTTTAGGTTGCAGATATTTATGGGCCAAAGATGTATGGTGCATCTCAACTATTCAGTGATGATGGAGCCATATTGGTTACTGATAAGGACACAATCCTGGAGAGATGGGCTGAACACTTCCATAGTATTCTCAACAGACTTTCATTAATCAATGCTGAAGCCATTGACTATTTACTTCAGTTTGAAGTCAATCCCTTTCTAGCCAAATTTCCAACTGAAGAAGAGGTTTTAAAGGCCATTAGGCTCCTCTCCTATGGCAAAGCACCTGGTGCTGACTCTCTTCCAGCTGAGATTTATGAGATGGGGTTCCACTGCTCATACAAAAGCTGACTGAATTTTTTGGGGGTTATATGGCAAGAGGAGCTTATCGCCCAGGAGTTCAAGTACACCTCCATTGTATATCTCTCTAAGGGTAAAAGAAAGAGATTGTCCTGTGGCAATCGCAGGGTGGGGTCTCTTTCTTAGTCATTGCTGGCAAGATTCTTGCCAGAGTCCTCCTTCATCAGTTGATCCTTCACCTGGAAGATGGTCATCTACCTGAGAGCCACTGTGGCTTCAGAAAGAGCTGAGGAATAGTCAATATGGTGTTTGCTGCCTGACAACTCCAGAAGAAATGCCAGGAGCAGAACGGAGGTCTGCACACGATGTTCATCTATCTTACCAAGACCTTTGGTACTGTAAATCATGAAGGATTATGGAAAACCGTGTCCAAATTTGGTTGGTATTATATGTCAATTTCATGACAGCATGCTTGCCTGGGTTCTAAATAATGGATGATGCTCTCACATTTTCCCAGTCACCAACAGAGTGAAGGCTGTGCGCTTGCCTTGATGTTTTCAGCAATGTTGTCAGACACTTTGAATGAGGACAGACACAGCATCAAGGTCAGCTACTGAACTGATGGTGAATCTACAAAAGAGTACAAGCCAAGGCTAAAGGGGAGGGAGAGTTGGTGTATGATGTTTTGTTCACAAATGATTATGCACTCAATGTCGCTGCTGAAACTGAGATGCAGCGAAGTATGGATCGATTCTCTGCTGCTTGTGCTAATTATGGCCTAACAATTAACACCAAGAAAACGCAGACGCTCCACAAGCCAGCACCATGCCATCCATCCATAGAACCATCAGTTTCAGCAAATGGAGAAGTTTTGAATACTGTGGATAAGTTCACTTACCTTGGCAGTTTACTTTCCAGGGAGGTACAGATTGATGGTGAGATTGATACATATGCATTGCCAGAGCTAGCTCAGTGTTTGGGATGCTCCAAAAGAAAGTGTGGGAGAGAAGAGGTATTTATTTGACTGACTACCAAAATGAAAGTCTACAGAGCCATTGTACCAACCTTATTTCTGTATGCCTGTGAAACCTGGATAGTATACCGGCACCATGCCAGGAAACTGAATGGTTTCCATTTGAATTGTCCTAGGAAGATTCTAAAGATCACCTGGCAGGATGAGGTATCGAACATGAAGGTCTTGAACTAAACTGCCAAGCATTCAAACTGCTAAAGAGAATGCAACTCTGATGGGCTGGCCGGCCACATTGTTTGAAATTCAAACATGCGCTTGCCTAAAAGACTATTTTTATGGAGAACTCACACAAGGGAAGTGCTCACATGGTGGTCAGAAGAAGCTATACAAGGACACTCTCAAGGTCTCTCTGAAGAACTTTGGAATTGATTGTATGACATAGGAAACACTGCCACAAGACCTCCTAGCATGGTGTGCCCTTATCAAAGAAGGCGCTATGCTCTATGAGCAAAGCAGACTGAGGTACCTGAAAAGAAACATGAGAGGCACAGATTTGGAGAATCCACCCTAAATGTTCACGTGTACTATTTGTGCCCTACCTGTGGTAGAACATTTTGAGATAGTATTGGTCTGATCAGCCATAGTCAGACACAC